TTTAATGCTCGCAATATTTCTTTATCGATTTTTGTCCGCCAAAACTGAAATGAAAAGTACAACCATCCAAACAACCATCCTTTCAGCCAGATATCTTTCTAATATTAAAATTAATCAAAAATCAAGTAAACGAACAATCATCCATACAAATAATTATTTGAAAACTAGCCAATCAATTTACTAACCAGTCAACCAACCAATCAACCATCCAACCAACCAATCACCTAATTGATGACCATTTGGCGAACTAATGGACGAGTCAATTAACGTACAATTCATTTATTTTACCATTTAATTCATCTAACCAATCAACTCATCCAGCCAACCATTTCATTCTACCAATCAATTTATCCAAAAATTTTAATCAATCTCTCCAAATAAATTTTCTTGATGTTATTTTTGTTGGATCAAGTTTAATACCTCAAAAGTGAGTTGCATCTGAGGTGATGTGCAGAACACCAAGAATGTTAAAAGTCATACTGACGTCATCGACTTAATGCTGATGACATCATGACATCAATATTGACTTTAGCCAATGTGTTCTAGAAGTTGAATTAAGTCAGACTGGCGAGCATTAACAAAGAGTAGTTAAGAATCAGAGGTGGAAGTAGAGTTTTGAGGTGGTTCAAAAAGGGAGGTTTTTCATACTTTTTGCTAATTCTCGATCATTCACACTTCTGTAAAAAAAGGATTTTTAAAATTCTTCTTAGTTGATTATCCTTTTAATGATGATTTTTTGTTTATTTTTATATTATAACGAAAAATATTTAGTATTTTGTTTCTCCTGGTCTGGTGGGGGCATGTATCCCCACCCCTTCTAGATCTGCCCCTGTTGAGAAAGCCCCCTCAATAAAACTAAATCTGTGATGGAATTTTCTTTGAGAACAAACATGGTACATAAAATTTTACTAAGAATAACTCTGGATGCCCTGCTGGCGGATTTAAACGATGCGTGGGATGGCCAGGCAGCTTAATTGAATGAATTGGAAAAGTTGAGTTTCAAAGCCTGCAATCCAATTCCGCTGTTGTGTTAATAAATACAATGTAAATTTAAAAGAAGGCGTAAGATGTTTGAACAAATTTGTCTGATTTGGCTGTGACAGTGTTGTATTTATTGATACATTTAGTATTGATACATATTGATACATGCAAGTATTAATTTTACTTAAAATAATCTATTCTAATTTTTTTTACAAATTGAAAAATAGTGTGACAAATTAATTTTAGAAAGCAACACAACTTTCATTATAAACATTCATACATGGTGTTGTTGGTCTTGCTTGTTTTGCGTAGTTCCATTGAACATCAGGCAGTGATTGTTTGCTGGGCAAGATTCTTAAGTGCAATGTTGAAGAACTGTCCAACATGAGACAGGAACTTACATTCCTAATTGCGAGTATCATCTGAGGAAGTGAGCAGTTGGTGAGAAAAACTTAAAGGTTTTTCGGTGATGGTCAGTTGATTTGCAAATTTTTGTTATCTAATCCAAAGGAATAGGCTTCGTTGGTTCCGAAGTTTTGCGTATGAGTAATATGAATAATTTGCTTTTTACATTTACAGTAAAAGTCCTCTAGAGCGGGACCCTAAAGAACGGACAGATAAGAGTAACGGACAGTATTGCTTGGCACGGAACCGTTTTGCATGTTAAATAGACCCTAAAGAACGGACATTTTAAAGGAACGAACTACGGACAGGGTTTTAAGTACAAATTGACTTTTATGTCTTAAAGAGCGGACAATTTATAACAAAAAAAAACACATGGAATATTTGATAAAATGCGCCATCTAATTTAAATATTTGTATTTATTCTATTCTATGGAATAGCTGATGATTGGAAAAAAAGGATTCCTGAGATTACATCTGGATTCTTACCTGAAAATATATTCAATGCAGATGAGACAGGTCTTTATTATCGCAGTTTACCACAACGTTCACTTGTTTTGAAATCTGATAAAAGGAAAGGCATCAAGACAGCCAAAGAAAGAATAACTGTTCTTTTAGCTTGCTCTCAGACAGGGGAAAAATTGCATAACCAGCCTTTTGGGTTCTGTTACTTGGGAGAATTTTGTAACCATGGATAACAATGATGACTCAATCCATAGCCCACAAAATTCTGAAAATCATGAACAATTTGAAGTCCAAGATGATGAAGAGGAAGAAGAGGCTCCAGTCCAAGAAGTTTCTACAAAGATGGCATTACAATGTGCCAGGAAGCTAACTTCCTATTCGATACATATGGGCAATAGAGAATTGTTACAATTTTCTGAGAACATTGAAAATATTTTAGAAATTGAATTGTTAAAAACAAAATGTTTTGGCAAACAGACAACTATGAATGATTTTCTTCCATAACAATATTAAAAACGTGTTGTTTTATTTTAATTTTTTATGTAGTATATCAAAAAAGATTTTGATGTTGAGTCATGAGGAGAGGACAGTTAAGAGGAGAGGACAGTTTGGTCATTCCCCAATGGTGGCCTCTCTAGAGGACTTTTACTGTATTCAATTAGTTTTGCAAATCTATATAAATTCTATACTGCAAGATTTTGAACTTTTATAATTCGATTTTACGTTTTTAAATGAAAACAACGTGACATTTTAGATAACAACCACAATTCCTTTCATGATCGCAAAATAAAACAGCGTCATACAAATGCATTGATTTTCAAAGCACTCGACCCTCCGAGTTTCAAATAATAAAATAAAACTTTCATGTGAGAGATGCCAGAGGTTGTCAACATTTTCCATCAAATTTGCTCAACTGCTGTGGGACGACACAACTTCAAACGATGATCATCATTCGCAGCGTACATCGCAAACATTTAAAAGAAAATTGTCTTTTTTTCAATTTAAAAAACGAGTTCACGATTCTTATTATTTGAATCTTTTTCACTTTCATGTGATACTAAGTATTTGATTTGATTGGCATTTAAAATAAATAACTCGGGTAGTAAAAAATATTTCAAACAAAAAATGGTTCGTTTGATGAATTTTATTGAGCACGCCGTAAGCAGACTGTTGTACATGGGATGCAACTGTATGTGTGGATACGTCCATGTGAGTCTGTGATATGTAACCTGTCCGATGTTTCATAGGCGATCGGTTACAACGGAATATTTATCGTGAGACATCCAACTGACACCTCGTGAATAGCAGAAATGTTAACCTCTTAAAAAAATTTTCAAATGACTGTGGAAATAACTTTTAAGTGAAGGAATAAAAAAAATCTGAAAATCATGCGCATCGCTTTTATTTTATAGCACCTTCCTATATCAACTATCTTACTCGTAACTGATTGCAACAATTTTCTTTCTTTATCTAATAAAATGTTGAAAAAGTTTAGTGAACATTCAAATTTATAAAAATGGAACTCAACTAAACTTGTAAATGATTGAACAAATTATCAAACAAGCAAAAAAATTAAATTAGACAAATAAGCAAAGAGCAATGAGTTAAATATAACAAACAAAGGAAACAGAGACGAACGAACAATCGAAAAAGCAAACATACAAAACACAAAAAACAAACAGATGAACCAACAAACAAATGAAGATTTGAGTGAACGAACGCATTCTAATTTCGTTGACAAAAACAGCAGCAAGCCTGCGAACATATGTGACCGACGTGTTTAAAACTCCATTGATTTTGTGCCGACTACAAAGCGGATGCATGTTGTTTGCTGTGTGCGTTCGTAAGAGGGTCGTAATTCACGTGGCAATTTTGCTGCAATTTAAATTGCGTCAATCTGCGTACTTTTCTATGTGCCGGAAAAAATTTTGTTAGATTTTTCGTGCTGCTGTTATTTCCATAATAAATAAATATAAATGCATGACATTTCATCTGGTTTAAAACACATCAACGCCGTGCTGCAGTTTTATGTATATATTATTTTACATGCAGTTGTAAAGTGTGATAATAACTATACATATATATATCGTGTATATTCAATGCCTGTTGCTGTTTGAATGAACCTTCATTTATAATACTCCTGGATTGTACATGGTATACTAGCTAGCGGAGAAAGTTTTTGGAGGTTATTATAATGATTACATTTTCTTTTACGAGCACCATGTTGAATTGAATATCTCTTCACAAGCTCATCAACAAAATGACATGTGACAAGAAGAACTGCGAATCTTTGAGGATCGTGCTTTCTGCGTCTCCGTGCCTTTGCCCAACTCTGGTGGTTTGTGTGCGTGTGCATATGTGCCTTTTTGTACGTGTGTATGTGTGCCTTTGTGTGCGTGTGCATGTGTGTCTTTGTGTGCGTTCATTCTAGTGTATAACACCTACCACTGAAGAAGGTGCTCTCTAAAAAATTTTTATTGAGAAATTTTCAAAATTATAAGAATCGACGAATAAAAAAAAAACACTAAAATAATTTTACAGAAAAATAAATTAAATGGACGAAGGACATAGATGATGATGATATAATGATGATGACGACGATGATGTTGTTGAATATCCACGTTGGGTTCAGTTGACAGTAACATGCCTTCTATTGTCAAATTTATTTCACGGTTTACATGAGAGGAAATTTTTTTTGCACTGGAGTATTTGCGGCGGATCGTTTTGTGCCGGCGCAAGAAATAGTATTACCTTTCCTAATTTCATCGCAAATGTTGATATTCGTCTTTATTTATTTTTAAAAATGTAAGTACGACTAAGAACGAAACTTGAAAGTCGGAAGCAAACATGTCGGCTGCCACTGGTGGTGGTGGGGAGGTACTTGTTAACCACGAGGTATCAGCCTGTGTGGGAAGAAAGAAAAGATCAAAGTTGAAATGCTACTTCGAATTGTTGCATGTACTTTTTTATACTAATTTAACAAGCCGCAAAACTTTTAAATTTTTATACAAAAATTAAATTGAAAATAATAGTTCTTGTACGTTGTTTATAAAAAATTTTTAACAAACACTTTTCAATGTTTGCTTTTTTCATGAAAATACAAAATTAGCATGAAGAACTGAATTAATGAACGTGTGATGCAATCGTTTCAGACTGCTCTGCGTACGCTCATTTCGTATTCAACACATTCGACCAGGACCACAGTGGAACCATAAGTTTTGAGGTACATGTTTGCTTCTTTGTTTGTTTTCTGCCTGTCTGTTAGGTTTGTTTGTCTTTCTGTTTGTTTGTCTTTCTGTTTGTTTGTCTGTCTGTCTCAGTCAGCAAGTCTGCTGTTTGTTTAAATGTCAGTGCTCTGTTGTAGTTGAACAAATCAAACAAAAATAAAAGACAAAATTTTAATTGGTATTTTTGATTGACGGGCATTTCACTGATATCTGTTTAATGTTTTTGGAATAGCTGGGGCAGCTAATTAATGAAGAATTGTTCAATTAAATTTTTGTCACATTTATTTAATTTTATAAATAGACGATTTCTGAATAGTAAATATATCAAAATTAAAAACTCTACACAGATCATCTATATAAATTGTAAATGTATCACTACATTCCGATCGTTAAACTACATAAAACAACATCATCATCATCAACATCATCAACAACATCATCACATCATCATCACATCATCATCAACATCAATAACCAAACAAACAATGGCAGGAGTTCGTGATGGGGCTCTCCCTCTTGTTGCGTGGGACCATGCTGGAGAAGCTGCAGTGGGTCTTCAGCCTGTACGACGTCAACAGGGACGGCGTGATCACTAGCGAGGAAATGCAGATGGTCGTCTCATCCGTCTATGATATCATGGGCAAGTTTTGCAGCTCAAAAATTGACGACACTGTCATAAAAAATCACGTCGATGCTTTATTTGAAGTCAGATTTTGGTTTTTGTAAAAGTTCTTTAGCATAAAAGTTTATTTACATTGGAGTTGCTCTCTATATTAAATAATTTTAGACTTTCATGCATAACTAAAAAATTTGGATTTAAATACTATTTAATTTCCACTTCAAACAAATTACATGTCGTAAATAAATTGAATTATTAATTGGAAAAAATCGTGTCCCCGAGAAGCTGGACGTTGATCGAGATGGCGTCATATCGTTCGACGAGTTCATCGACACATGCCGCAAGGTCAGCCAACAAACTTTGATATAAAAAGCCTTTCTGTTACGTTGTGGTATCGCGGGCTACGTTTCGTCGTGATAGGTTGTGTCGGGTCATGTTCTGACATTCCATGTCGTCTTCTGTTCTGTTCTGTTTGTCATGTCATGTTCTGTTATGTTATGTTTACACCATAACAAGTTTAGTTATTTTTATTAAGATACTTTGTCAACATTCTCATTTGAAACAACTTGACGATATTTTAACTTTCAACCTAACAGGATCAAGTGATAACGAGCTCCATGGCTGTGTTCGACACGGTCTTTTGAAATCCTCGTCACCTGGGTATGCAAGAGTTAAACTTTATTTCTTCTGCTCACGCATGAGCAGTTAAGTGTAACTTGAATTGTCTTTAAGTAATTATCAGAATGTCATAATATTTATATTTAAGTTGTTTTTTTTATTATCGACTTTTTATTTTTAAAACATTGAAGACTTATAAATCGTTATTAATGACCAATTCATGACCACCATTGAGAACTCCCATTGGTTGTTTATTTTGTAACCACAAACTGTATCACGGGTAACCGGTGTTTTGTAACAATGATAATCTATCTTATCTTCATTATGTACATACTATGATGCATTTTGCGTCGTAAAATGTTTTTGTTATGTTTTACTGAAATGTTTTAATCAACAGAACCTTTTTTCTGTTATAACCTGTTTTCATTGAAAATGTATAGAAAGCATTTTTTTTAATCGGTCATCAATGGCTGTATAGAAAAGAATTTACTCAAAATCGTTGATTTCAAAAACTATTCTACATGTTTTCGTTTTGAAATTTCTTGGATGAATTATAAATACACTTCATATTTTTCTTACGATCCACCGGTTAGCAAGAGACTGAAAAAGCGATGAACAACGAAGTAATGTTGTTTGGAGATTAATATAAATGCGATATTTCGATCAAATAATGGAAGATTCGTCCGAATCGTTTTTTGTCAGTATTTTGAAAATTTGTAGAAATAAATTATATTATAAAAAAGGCTGATTAGTTAGATTTAGTTGTTTAACGGTAATGACGTATTTTTTCAAAATTTTCTAAAACATGATTACATTGAAGTGATATAATCACCTTTACCATCATCACTTCACCACTATATTCAACCACACATTATCAAAAACTCACACAAATCATCCATCACAAGACAAAATTGACAATCTTATAGCTGATTTTTTTTCAAATTTTCATAACTTTTATAAAATTCTAATCTAATAACTTTCAACTTGTTTTCTTACTATACACTTTTTTCATGTTTTTATTTATGATACTTTGAATTAAAACCAATCATTTGAAAAAAAAAGTTGGATAAAATTTAGAGAAAGTTTAACTTTAATTTAAAAGTTTAGTTGCAAATTTTTTTTTAAGTGCTACTGAAAGTTTAATTATTTAGTCAATTATAATTTAATAATTATAATTATTGATTATAGTTATAATTAATTAAACAATTTAATTAAAATTATTAGAGTTATTTATTTATTTATTATTTAGTTTAAAATATTTATTTATTTATTAGTTTTTATTTAGTTAAAAATAATTTAGTTAAAAATAAATAGGTTTAACTTAAGAAATTTAGTTATGCCCATCACTGGGTGTTAGAAACATTGTTAGTGTTGAAAATATTGTTGACGTATGAAAGAATGTTGGTGTTAAATAGATAGTATTTTTAGAAATATTTTTGTTGTTGCAAAGATTGATGATGCTGGGAAGATTGAAAACATGACTGCACAATCATTCTATCCTAATCTGAGCAAATACTCTTAATGAACCTGGCATCAGCAGCATATAACACACACATCTACATCCGTTCTATTTGCAAATACATCAAATAAATCATAAACATAAATAATTAACAAAGTAAGACCTAATACACTACCCTGCGGCACCCACTAAAAACGCCAAAGTTATACAACGTTGAACCATTAACTTTTACCAAGAAAGATCTATTTTTATGTAATCCTATATCCAACCCACAATCAAATCATTCACTATAAAAGGATTTTAATTTATTAATAAGTTCATCATGAGGAACCTTAACAAACGCTTGCTCAAAATCAGTGTATATAACCTCAACTTCCTTACCCTCATCATTCGCCAAATACCATTTATCTAACATCTTTAATAACAACAAAACAGCAGATTTTCTAGGCATAAAACCAAACTGTCTATGATTAAACAAATCGACTCCATAACCTTACGGCACAAACAACACTAAGAAACAGGTCTATAATTTTCCACTCAATATACATCTTCATTTTTATGAATTGGTACCACAATACTGTGCTTCCAACATCAGGTATCACATGCAAATTCAATGACAAATTAAACAAATTGCATAAATAATCAGCAACTACACTACTACATTCCACCAGAATTCTAGAATAAATTTCATCCGGCCCAGCTGATTTATTTAATTTAGGTTTTGGAATAGTTTTAGAACTCTTAGCTAAATTTATTATACCATTATTCTTAACTAAATTCATAAAATTTTTAACTTTTAAAATTCGTTCAATAAAATAACTGATTTAGAGTCAAGAAAATGTTTTCATAATTAATGTTTATATTTGATAAGTGAAGCAAAAGCTTATTAAAAATAAACATAAATTATGAAAAAATAC